CATATTATCGAGATAACCTCTCTGTCTCACAAAATATCCACCAGCCTCAATATTTCACTATTACTGTGCATTGGAGCGAGAAAAATTTCTGTAGCACAAATTATGTCATATCTTTACCTTTCTAATTCTATGGAAGGCTTTGTTAGTGCTCCTTGGATAGAGTTAACCTCCTTTACTCAACAAGTTAAGATAATGTGTTAGGTGCTGGAGTATAAATAATGAATAAAGAACAAATTGGCCTCAACTACTGAGTGTAAATATTTCAGGCAAGGTTAATGAAAAATACATATAAAATTAATATTAATGTAAAAATTAATATTATGGTTTGACTGTGTTAAAGAAGTTCAGGATGTTAAGGGAGCATAAAATAAAAGAAAGTGGTCCAAAAATTCTCTCTGAGAAATGCCATTTATGTTAAGGATTCCAAGAGGGAGGAATGAAACAATGGAGAAGGGAGAGAAGAATGAATGGGCAAGTAGAATGGGTGGAGACCATGACACTGTGTGTGAGCCGTATCCCTCCTATGCAGCTTGAGTGACATGCTGAAGAGGTACTGGCTTATACTTGAACTTTGTTGTCATTGAAGAATTGATGCTTGGGGAATTCCCTGATCAGATTTGTAATTTAGGAACTCAAATTGCATGAGAGGAATGATTTGTGGCTGGGAGTGAGGGGAGTGAAACACAAAACAAGGAGAGGAGTGACTACTTAAGAATGTGGTTTTTAAGGCCTATAGTGGAGTTGTGGAAACAGAGCTGAGAAATGAAAAAACGTGTAAAAATGATAAAGTATTTCAACAGAAGAAATTACATTGCAGAAAGGTCTTTGTAATGAGTCTTAAGATTGCAACCTGTATAATTTATAGAATTGAAATGTCATTACTAAACTAGTAATTATAGAAGAACCAACATGATGATTGATTAATACAGGCTGATGTTCTATATTTTGAAGTTGAGCATCCTGTGATTTGCCAGTGGGCTGTCACAAATAGAATTTCGATTAAAGTTTCAACCTCAAAATGGAGAGAGAGTTCAGTATCTAGGGCTTAGTGGAGGTTTAGAGCTAACCGCAAGGAACTGAGGTACGAGTGCCATGGTGAAATGGGAAAAGTTCCCTTATCCCCCTCGCAGGGCGTGAGATGGGGGTGTAGCTCACTTCTTAGACGCCCCATTGGTTAAGCCCCTAAGGTAAGCATGCAGTTGGTCAGGCTGTGAGGCTCTGACCCCATAGCAGTGTCTAGGGGTGAGTGTTTACAGCTTCTGAACCCCCAGTGGGCATGTGTTACAGGTTGCTCATTTAGATTAGCTGTCTGTAGGTGGCTTGTGTTAGCTCAGTTAGACCCCTGCCTTATCACAAGGACGGAGGGCTTTCTGTATCCCGGGGTTTCTTGCCTTGGTGTACCAGAAGAATCGGATCACCTGTGGGCTTGGAGAATGAGTGCAAGGTTTTATTGAGTAGAAGTAGCTCTCAGCAGATGTGGGAGTCAGAAGGGAGATGGAGTGGAAAGGTGGTTTTCTTCCGTAGTTGGGCTTCTCAGCAGCTGGGCTCTCCTCTAACTGCCCCGGCCAAACTACATCTTTCCAGCCTGCCAGCCTGCCAGCCTGCCAGCCTGCTGATCCATATTGATGTGCTCTTAGGCCAGTGTGTTCCTCTTGACGTTCAGCCACTTGTGTGTACCCACTAGGGTGTCGAGGTTTTTATAGGGACAGGATGGGGTCGTGGTGGGCCAGGGTGGTCTTGGGAAATGCAACATTTGCGCAAGAAAACAAATGTCTGTCTTCACTTAGGTCCATGGGCCCAGGTCCTGGAGTGGAGCCCTAGCCACGTACCTGCTTTTCTCTACCCAGCCCTTCCTTACCCCTCTCCTGTATCAATGGAAGTAAAGATAGTGTGCCTCAAACTCTCTTTTCAAGACATCTGGCTGCGAAAAGATCAAAAGTATGGGACAGAAACAGTGGAGAAAATGCCTGTGTTTTGTTTCATACCTTGTGTTTCATTTCATATCTTAGGATGGGAGGAGCATACATCTTAAATACTGAGGTCAAAGAGCCAGCGAAAATTAGTGGCTAAAGAATCATCGTGAGTACATATTCAATGGTACAACATCCCACAGGTGTGGGAGGCATGTAGGTGATAGAGAACACAGGAAATGTGATATTGAGTGTGAGAGCAGACACCAGCCTCTTCCACATGGACATGAGGGGAGGATGGGTGAGGATGTGAAGATTTTTGTAGGTGAAGAACAAGTTCACTTTGGTTTTCCAGTTTTAAAATAGAAAATGAGACAATCAGCTGAGAACAAACAAGATGATTGTAGTTTGGGGCACTTTTGTAAACAAATGAAACTTTATAATCTTGACTTTAGAGAAAGAAAAAGAACTGACTAGAAGCACGAGGAAGTACTGAATGCAAGAAATGAATCATTATTACAATTCTAGATTATAGGACATTAGAGTCAGCTTTCAATGCCGTGAGAGACAGTGAGGTCACATAGTGGGTAATGGGTGTTAAATATTTCAGAAGGGTACATTTTGGGGTCACCACCTCACATAAAAAGAGTGGTAAGTTTACAAAAATATGTCCTACTACTCCTTTACAAAGGGTAACAAAGAGCACAAAAAACAACAAAGCAATACCAGGGTTTTTAAATAAGAAGTTTATAGTAAAATTAGAGTATGAAGAGTATGTTTGAGCAATGTGTTAAACAATATACTTTTAAAGTAGGTTGGACATATAAGAATGGCACAGATATAAATATTGTTTAGGAACTTACAAGAAAATTGATGTTATTAAGAAGAAAACTTGTGCACCTCACAATAAACTTCAAAATCCTACTGAATCAAGATAAAAATGAAGAGAGATGGAAGTGATAGATTTCTCAGTCAAATGCTGTGCAATTGCCTAAGAACCTTTTCCTTCTGGTTCTCAAAGATGTTCTACCTCTTCAATGATAGATTGCTCTACAGTAGTCTCTTTTTTTTTCCCCTCATCTCAATTAACCTTCCATTTTCTCCTTTGAGTATTTTGAGTCCCAACATTTTCCCTCTTTGGTCAATTTGTACTTCTTTCTGATTTCGTGTTTCTCTCTTTTCTTTTCTTCTAATTTGTTACATTTATGTGTAACTACTCTGTACTCAGCCTGGTGTTAAATCCACTTTTTAAGGTATATAATATTAAAGAGCAATATTACAATGATTTAAATACTATCGATTGTTTTGCCTGACTTTATTCTGGAACTCAAGAAACATAAACAAATATAATTTTTTAAAAAAATTATTTTTGTCTCAAAAGACAAAACCGTGGACTAGAACAGAGAAAAGATTTAATTTTACTACACTAATCAAATTCATTTCTTTTTATTGAAGATAATTTTTGCAAAATCAGCAGACAAAAAAATCACCTGGTTTATGAGGTAAATGAAGGTTTTCTTTATTTATAAAAAAAAATTTCTTTAAAATGTTTTTCCATTTTTATTTTTTCACATACTGTACCTGTCTGTTCTCATGCTGCTAATAAAAAGATAGCTGAGGCTGGGTAGTTTAGAAAGGAAAGAGGTTTATTTGACTTACAGTTTCACATGGCTGGCAAGGCCTCACAATCATGGCAGAAGGTGAATGAGGAGCAAAGTCACATCTTACATGGTGGCAGGCAAGAGAGCGAGTGCAGGGAAACTCCCCTTTATAAACCCATCAAATATCGTGAGACTTATTCATTATCATGACAACAGCATAGGAAAAACCCGCCCCCATGATTTAATTACCTCCTACCAGGTCCCTCCCACAACATATGGGGATTATGGAAGCTACAATTCAAGATGAGATTTGTGTGGGGACACAGTCAAACTATATTGCATACTGAAGAAGAAACTATGTGTTTCTTTTAAGTTGCCAATATATTGACATACCTGTTTGTTTATTGACTTATCACTGTTCACATATTCAAGATGCTTGGAAACAACACCCCCTTAACCATCTGAGGTATATACAAGTTTGGCTTAATAAAAAGACCACACAGCAGAGTAAAGAGGAATGGAACATGTACAATGGAATTCCTAAGAAGAATTGTAGATTTCATATTCCCTTTCTTGGTAGGATGATGTATTAGCTATAGAAACAAAAGTTCGGTGCAGAAAATAACCCACAGAAATATAAGGAACATACAATAATCACGTTTTACGTCTTGAGTCAGACTGAGGTCAGTTGACCTAAATTTTGTGATAATGTGCATCTCTGCTGGTATGAATTGGGTTCATATTTGTTTGTGTCTAGCTATGGTTCATTTATCTAGCTTGAGCTCAGCTGTGGGCGGCTCTGCTTCAAGGGCCCCTAATGCACACCTCAGTCCCATGAACTTGCTAGGAATGTTCTCACTCTCCCGGCAATTTCAGAGGAGCTTATGCACAGATGAAAATATGTAGGGACTCTTGAAGCATATGCTTCGATCTGGCCCATCATCACTTTTGCTTCATTCTGTTGGCCAAAGCATATTGTATGGCTGACGCTAATGTGAAGAAACAGAAAACTGCACACTGTTCACGTTTGAAGGGCCCTTCAAGTTATGGCAAAAGGTGTAATCCAGGGAGAAGTGCAGATGGTTGCCAATAAGATAATCTACTTAACCACCTGACCAAGTAATAGTTTTAGAAACAGAAAATCGATATTTGGAATGCCCATTGCTTATTCCTCACTACATAGTTAACCTTCAGACTGCTGTACATTGCTTAGATTTCTTTCTTCTAATAAAAATTCCATTACCTCTGTGAAAGTTATCCTGAGAGAAAGAAATAAAAACTATTTATATAAGATGATTGTACTTGAATTTTCATTCACTTAAGTTTCTCTGCAGTACAATTTCCTTCCCTCTTTTTGAGAATCACTGAATTGTAATCAGAGACAGCTTCATATTATTTTAAACTGTGAAAACTACTGATATTTATCTTTTAAGCCCTTTAATACACATTAAAATCCTTGATATAGGCTTCACCAACCAAACGCACCTACCATAGACTTGAATTAAAATTTAATCACGTGAGAAGTCAAGGAAGACAAGGGGACGGTGGCAGCTGCATCCAGTTCCTGTAGCTGCAGTTGTAGCAGTTTGAGTGACAGTATGAATGTCCTGTGTTTGTGAAGTCATCAGTGATGTAATCTGTAGTATTTGTTACCACTGAATACAAGGAAAAGAAAAATAATTTAAGCCCAAGAGAATCCCAAAATGTAGCTCACCCTGGCAATGCCTGGCCCATTTTCCCTAGACCTTTCATATTCTCTGGGTGATTTTCAACAGTATCTTCATCCCTGAAGCTGAAAACTCCTTTCCCTTGGATTCCGGAAAGATCAGTTTCCTACATAGTTTTGGCAGCAGGCAGGATATGCAGGGATATATAGCACCCAGGAGCAGCCCTCATCAATGACGCTTAGGAGTTAAGGTATAAAAACCACAGATAATTGACCCCATGAATAGGGCTGATAGAAGTGTGCACTTGCATCCTTTCCCAGTGTTTCTCCAGTGGATTAAGCCTGAGTAGCACTTTAGGGCAGTTGTCGTAATACTATAGTCATTAATAGGCATTTATTCTATTATCAATTTCCTACTTCCTTAAGCATTTCATTTTCCAAATCTACTACTTTTACTTGAATTATAGAGGCTGGGTCTGTTTCTTAGAGAGTTTACATTAAGATGCTAGGTTTATATTTCTGATGCTAAGTGAAATGGTAGAGCTTTAAAAAAACACAACCACCTTACATGGTTAGAGGCAAGAAAAATTCAGATTCCTTAAGAGTGAAGAAACCACAATGAGATTATCAGCTGACATCTGTTGGAATGTCTGTTATCAAAAAGACAAAAGATAAGTGTTGACAAGGATGTGGCTAAAAAAAATGCTTGTGCACTGTTGGTGGGAAAGTAAGTTAGTATAGCCATTACAGAAATAGTATGGAGGTTTCTCAAGAAATTAAAAATAGAAATATCATATAATTCAGCAAACCTATTTCTGGTTATGCAGACAAAGGAATTAAAATCAGTGCCTCAGAGAGATATTTATATCCCCATGCTAATTGCCCCACCATTGACAATAGCTAAGATATGGAAACAACCTAAATATCTGTTGACAAATGGATTAAAAAATTCTTGCTATATCAGATATGTAACAAAATAATATGTAGCCTTAACAAAGAAGGAAATCCTTCCTTTTGTGACAACATAGGTAAATCTGGAGGAAGTTATGCGAAGTGAAATAAGCCAGACACACAGAAAGAAAAATACTGTGTGATCTCACTTACATGTGGACTCTACAATCGTCAAACTCACAGCAGCATAGAGTAAAATGGTGGTTTTCAGTGGCTAGGGGTAGGGAGAGATGGGAGATGTTTATCACAGGGTACACAATTGCAGTTACACAAGACGAATGAGTTCTGAAGATCTAATGTATATCAATGTGGTTTTAACTAACATTATTGTACACTGTATGCCTAAAATTTGCCAAGCAGGTAAATCTTAAGAGTTCTCATCACAAAGTAATCATGTGAAGAGATAGATATATTAATTTCAATATGGTAATTATTTTACTGTATATAAATATATCAAAACATCAGTTGTACATCTTTAATATATACAATCTATATTTGTTAATTATGTGTCAATAAAGCTGATAAAAATCAATGAATATCTATAGATAGATACATTACCTCACAGGGCAAAAACTTAACAGCTGAGTTGTTGGCTGTGGTACAGGAGTTGTGGTGTGATTAGCAAACAAAAGCAGTAATAAAAACCAACCATGATCTATTGATAATTAAAAAATGAAGACTTACAAGCATTAACCCGTATTTCCTTTCTTGCTCTGTCATATGTGTGGTTAGATTAAGCAAATACTTTCCCTCTTCTGTACACTTCATTTTCTTTTTTATTCAATAAAGGGTGCATGTTGTTGATAATATCAAGATAACATTTTAACAAAAGCAAGATTTGAATAGACATGACTGGATGATCATGGTCTTACATTGGTTTCGGTAATTCATAGTAATTTGCTTTAACCCTTTTGATTGGAAGATTAACATGTATTTGATTGTACAAAATAAAATTACATTATGTTAGAAAAAATGCATGATTTTAGAAGTATAAATAAAAGAACAAATAATTATACTAATATTGCACAAAGTTGGTGATGTTGAAACCATCTTACTATTATTTTTTTGCTTCTCATTAAATTAATAAAACATGCAGTTTTTCCACTATAACAAAATGTCTACTTCCAACAACAGAATTTGAAATTTTTGGATTCTTGCTTCCCAAGTCTCTCTTGCTGTTAGTGTGTTTGCTTGGAAACTAGAATCCACTAATCTCATGCACCTGTCTCAGACATTGAAATCAAATAAAATAAATGGCCATGCCTTTATTTATGGTGGGGAATCAGTAGGATCCATCTCCAGTTCATAGAATAATGGTGGCAAGAGTAACCCTAGAAGAACTGTGGGTCAAGAGCATGGTGAAGGTAATCCACAGTGTCTATGCCTGTTGACAGGAGCAGCAAGATCTTCACTCAACACTCCTGTACTTGACTGTGGTCACTTTTTTTGGCTAGGAAGTGTCCAAGCCCAGTTCTCTAGCCCTCCTCAAGATCTCGGGAGCTGGTCAACAAACATTTAAGCTACATGATTACTCATAATACATGTATGACAAAATTATATTATCTTAATAAATAATGGGCACCTGTGTGATCATTTTAATTGTCATGAAGTTAATATGCTACTTCACTAGAAGACAGTTATATTTTAAAAGAAGATTATTAGAAAATGTGGTTAAAATAAATATAAAAATATATTCTGATTTCTACTAAAAATCAAACTTTTGCTTATGTGTCAGAGGAAATTGAGCAATATTTTCACAGAGGTTCATTCTTAGAATCCTTCAAGTCACATTAAATAAGCATTGGTCTTTCCTGTCTACATATAAATGAGTTATTTTGATGAACCCAAATACTTAACAGATACAGGTCATTATTTTTGCTACAGGTAAATGTTATCGAAGTATTCACATTTGATAATTGTTCAGATGAAAATGTAAACTAACAATCTCCCCATGTTTTTTATTCTATTCCTTGTTACTTTAAGCAGACCTAAATAGCTGAAATGAAGAATAACCTAGTCATCAAAAATCATCCAACAACTGGAATTTTTCAGTTGCTACACTATATGAAAATGTACAGACCTAGATACTGCAGAAAATGTTTTGTTTTTAGGTTAGGATGAATTGACAAAGCCAATTTTAGAATATAGTTGCTTGTCATCTATCAGACAAGCCCAGAAAGAAATATCAGCCTTCATTATGATAGTAATTTACTAGTGGACAGCCCAGCATTTCCCTGACTCCTCCGACTTACCACTCACCCTACCTATCCAATATCATATTTATCTATGTGAAGCCAAAAGAAAGAGAGAAAAATAAAACTAACAAAGAACACACATAACAAGTACATTTTTAACGGTTAATTTTGTAAAACAGTTCAAGTTTCATCTCTATTAGTGAGCTTGATTTTCCCACAATGAAATGGATGATACAGCCATTAGGAATATTTTAATTCTGGAATGCAAAACCACAATTCTAAAGCAATGAGAATTACAGTTTAGACTGCAGATATGTTAGAATATGAATAGAAAATGTGAACTCCTTAAAACTGTAGTCCCTCAATTATAAAATAGAATAATATAAACATCTCAAGGTTTATTAAACATAGCATGTATACTATATATAACATATAGTATTCCAGATACAATTTTTAATTCATGTATTTAAATGATTTAGCCTCAAATCACATTCTTCCAGCCTCTGCCTTCATTGTTGTTCATTGATTTACTCTTTTATTTAATCTTAAAATAATATCCACTATTTTATCTGACTTGAAAGTCTTTGAAAATGGACAGAGGACAACCCTTGTGAGAATAGATATGTTTACACACTACTGATATCCTGGACTACTTTACAATTTTCAGCAGACCCTTCATAAAAGTTTAATGGTATGCTTCTATCTTTCATTATTTTATCCAATTCATGAAAGGAATAACAAAAATATTCTGTTATGACATTTATTTTAAAGTCAGTGCCCCATGGGTACTATACCATTTACCAGTAATGCATAAAAATTATTTTGGTTCTGGTTGAAGTATGTGTCTTTTTTCAGCAGAGCAAGATCTCTAAGTTATTTAAGATTTATATTTACTTTGTTATGTTCTTGTTTTTTGTTTTATTTTGTTTTGTTTGATACGGAGTCTAAGTCTGTCGCCCAGGTTGGAGTGCAATGGCACAGTCTCAGCTCTCTCCAACCTCCCTCTCCCAGGTTCAAGTGATTATCTAGTCTCAGCCTTCCGAGTAACTGGGATTGCAGGCATAAGCCAGCATGGCCAGTTATGTATTTGATGAGTATCTTTATTTTTCAAAAAAGAGAAGTTAGTAAAATGGTTTATGCCTATTAACAATGTATCTTCAAACATAATCTTCACATAATAAAATATATCACATGATATATTTCAAGTTGCTGAGCATGATGTATAATATTAATATATTAATAGATGACATATCCATAGGGTTGCATTTTTTAAAAAGCATAATTTAAAATAAATGTAAACATGCAATGATACGTCTTATTTTCAAAGCATAATAGAGTATGCTATTCCATTTTTGCATTACAATCCCATTGTTTGTACAAATATGTTTTTAATTTTCATTTCATACATGGTTACTGAAAAGAAGTTAAGTGATTTATTCTAGATTACAGTTCTCATGAAGAAAACCCAAAAGATTAAGAGCTGAATTATTTCATTTTTTAACTACAAACATGTATTTCTTGGTCATTTTATCTATGAGTCCAATATAGTACAGAAATCCTAAATTGAATACCACATCCCTCATGTTAATACCGAAAATTTAGATAATCTGGCCAGACATGGGAACTCATGCCTGTCATCTCAGAACCTTGGGATATCAAGGTGAGTGGATCACTTGAGGTCAGGATTTCCAGACCAGTCTGGCCAACATGGTGAAACCCTATGTGATGGTTAATACTGAGTGTCAACTT